GTAAAGCTTCTTTTGCCGATCGACGCCTCCCAAATCATATATCATGTGTCTCTCTCTCTCCTCTTCCTTCTGCTTCTGATTTGATTGTAATTAGGTCTTTGTTTTCCTCAATTTCTGTCTCCATCTCTCATTCTCTAGTCCCCTGCTAGCTCTCCCTTCTTTAATTCATTACATACCAATTTCCGCCCACTCGTTTTGGTTATAACTTTCCGTCTTCTTGTTGTTTTTTATAATCGAGATTTGAGAAATGAAGATACGGTCAATTTATACGCGTTCAACTTTTTGCAATTTGACAATTTTAGGTTGGAAAGGGCGAAAAATGGAGTTTTTTGATCCCTACAATGCCCGCCCGGAACTGTGTGGCCAACTGGGGATGCGTTCCAACTTACCACCGAGTTTCGACTTGCAAATTGGTGAACTTAGAGAGTATTATGTGCTTGCGATTCCAATGCGCTAAAAATTTCAGCAAATGGTCGATGGGCGGCGGATATATATCACGTTTACTTTTGGCAAAAATGCATGATTTTTAAAGGGATATGTCCGCGCCGGTTTGCGTGGCGTGCGGAGAAGATGCGCCTCTGGCACACCTCCGACATGGCAGCGTGGCTGAGAGGTAAGGCTCCTCGCGGCACGTTTTTGGTCGGTGGTTCCATTCCGGCCACCAACTTGCAATGGAGGAAGCAGGTGAGGGGCACGCTGGTTTCCGATGACACTCCCGAAAATCGGAGTCCCGAAAACTCCGACTCCCGAAAAATCTAAGTCCCGAAAATACCCGCGGTGATTTGGGCTTAGGATCCAATTTTTCAAACATAATCAGCGCAAGTGTTTCTAAACCGCTTTTTGCTATTCCGAAATGTAAAAAACGGCAAATTTTTATATTTTTGGGTGTTTGGCTTTCGACTTTTGGTATATGCTCCGATAATGCGAGAGAGTCAAAAGCATTTTTGACGCTAATATTTTTTGAGAGTCATATTGCGGTCTACGAAATTAGGAGGGCCGTTAGCTTCTGGTGAACCAGGAAACTTGTGAACGGCGAACCGTGAGCCCTGTGTCTGCTGGTGATGGCGATGGCCGTGGCCGAGAATGGGCGTCTATCGCAGCCAATGTGTGTTGCTGCTTATGAGGACCTCATCCGCGTCAGTTTTTTTTCTTCGCTTAGCTCGGTTTTTCCTTGCTTAATCGTAACTCGGAATTTACGCAAATAAAATTAGTGAAGTTAATTAATTAAATTTATTATTATTTTTTAGAATATATGTAATTACATTTTTAATGATGTTGTTCATTTAAAATTAATTAAGTAATTAAAAAATTCACCCCCCCCCCCGATAATGTGAAAGAACCGGAAATTTTTGATTGCATTTCGCCGCGTAATCGATTTGGGGTGAACAAATTAACTTATTCATAAAAAAAAACAGCGGCTGGACTTTGGGCTACCCCCTCCGCTCCCGCCCCTCCCTGCCTGATGGCTTTAGATACTTTAAAGGATTTAAATAATCAATTAAGATGATTAAAAAGCATTAAAATAACGGAACAAAAGCTAGCTGGGATCTGGTGAAGAGGGGGCCTGGGAAAGAGGAACGTGGCCTGCCGGGAGAGGACCCCCACTCGTTTTATTCCAAGGCTTATGGACGGCATGGTGTCCCCATGATCCCCCCCTCCCCTATCAACAAATTGGCAGAAGTAGCCAACAGGGCGAAGAGAGCACCCATCTCATACTGCTGCCAGCGATGGGAGAGAGACAACACAGACATTTTCTTTCCCCCGGGGGGGGGGGGGGGGACGCTTAAAAGGGTTGCCGACGGCATAGTCAATCCCGGTTACGCGCGGAAGAAAATGTCTCTGTCCTCTCCCCGGGGCCCGCTGTCTCCCCTGTTGGCTACTTGCCAATTTGTTGATGAGGGGGATCGACGGCATATTAGCATTCATTAGCATATTATTAGCATATTAGCATGCGGCCCATATTAGCATGTTCGCCAGAATGGCACCGATTCTCTGGAATATGCCTCTATTTATCCTCCTCTAGATGGCCGCACCGCAGGAAAGCACGTTGAGTAACTCTTTAAAGGGATTAAAAGTCTGGTCCATCACCCCTCCACCCCCCGCAAATAGCTAATGACTGCTGCAACGCAAAAATATGTTCTTGAGCTTCTGCGGCGGCCTGAAAGATTGCAAGAAGGCAAGAATTTGCAAATCCTGGCGCGATTTCTGCAGTCCTCTGACGATTTTAATCATGCTCGCTCTCTTAATTATCAAAATTGGCGAGCCAATTAGGAGAATCGAAAAATGGAAAGCATTGCGAAAGGTTATCTCCGCAGCCCAAAAAAATTGATTTTGCCTCAAAAATATTAAATCATTTACAGAAAGACGGTGCATTCCGGAGGTTCGTCAAGAAGATAAGAGGCAAGAAGGAGAAGCGCAATGTTGGTTATTGGTTTGACAATAAAGGGGAAATTTTAGTGCTTCCACTGCAGTACGCCGACAACACAGGGCCCGCTCTATGGCGTCATCATATGCCCCGCTTGCCAGAAAAAGGCCGGGTTAGTTTGAATTCAGCTTCCGTACTGGGCTGTTAGCGGGGGGGGGGGAGGGGATTTCCCCAGGGATACCACACAGCCCGCCCCACAAAATATGAACCATTTCTAAGAGGCTTTACAGCGTTTTTTGGATTTGAATATGATTTCGAACATTTTTGATCTATTGCGAAAAATGTTTGAAGAATGAGCGAAAAACGCAACAAAAAAATAGATTTACAACTTTCTAACATTCAAAAACTACGAAAACGCGCTAAATATACATTTTTATGTTACCACAGGTTGATGTGGAACGACAAAAATTCGGAACCCCCCCTCCCCCGCTAACAGCCGAATACCCAGATTTATTTAATTTATAAATCCTAGGCCATGGGCAAGATCGGCTAAACCGTGTTGCCAGCGTATGAAGGGATGTGAGGATTTGGCCGTTTATGTTGACGACATGTAGGCCAAAAGTTTATTGCAAAATATCTCTTTATAGCGGTTTTGCCGAGGCCGAATTGGACGCGTACACGCGTATTCTTGAGGTGTTGCGCGGTATTGCTCTTCGATAATGCATAAAGTTAATTTTTAGGCCGGTCTTGCTGGTACTGTCAGATCGTCGCCACGCCGCTCGCCCGTGCTGTGAGGGACTGGAAGGGCCAACAAGAGCCTGGCAAAACCAGTATTATTTAGCTTGGATCCAAATTATGATAATTTAGGCGGCGCCAAACGGGCTGCTGCCCCCGTCGCCACAAACATCATTGGAATGCTGATGGTGTTCTTGCTGCTCGGAATGTCGACTGCAACCTCCAGTACGAGTTATACAAATTTGGGTTTTTTCGCATTAGCAGGGGGGGCAACATTTCTAAAACACGAGTTTTTCTAAGGTGTTTTTAAGTTAAAAAAAAATAGATTTTTCGTCCAAAATAAAACTACGAAAACGCGCTAAATATACATTTTTATGTTACCACAGGTTGATGTGGAACGACAAAAATTCGGATCCCCCCCCCCGCTAACAGCCGAGTACCCAGATTTATTTAATTTATAAATCCTAGGCCATGGGCAAGATCGGCTAAACCGTCTTGCCAGCGTATGAAGGGATGTGAGGATTTGGCCGTCTACGTTGACGACGTGTAGGCCAAAAGTTTATTGCAAAATATCTCTTTATAGCGGCTTCGGCGAGGCTGAAATCGAGGCGTACACGCACATTCTTGAAGTGTTGCGAGGTATTGCTCTTCGATAATGCATAAAGTTAATTTTTAGGCCACGCTTGTTGGTACTGCAAGATCGTTGGGACCCCGCTGGCCAGAGCCCTGAACGACTGGAGGAGCCAACAAGCACCTGGGAAGACCCGTATTATTTCCCTTGGATGCAAATTATGATAATTTAGGCGGCGCCAAACGGGCCGCTGCCCCCGTCGCCACAAACATCATTGGAATGCTGATGGTGTTCTTGCTGCTCGGAATGTCGACTGCAACCTCCAGTACGAGTTATACAAATTTGGGTTTTTTCGCATTAGCAGGGGGTGGGGGGCAACATTTCTAAAACTCGAGTTTTTCTAAGGTGTTTTTAAGTTAAAAAAAAATAGATTTTTCGTCCAAAATAAAACTACGAAAACACGCTAAATATACATTTTTATGTTACCACAAGTAGGTTGATTTGGAACGGCAAAAATTCGGATCCCCCCCGCTAACAGCCGAGTACGCAGATTTATTTAATTTATAAATACTAGGCCATGGGCAAGATCGGCTAAACCGTGTTGCCAGCAAACAAAGGGATGTGTGGATCTGGCAGTCTACACCGACGACGTGTATGCCAAAAGTTTATTGCAAAATATCTCTTTATAGCTGGTTCGGCGAAGCAGAAATCGACGCCTACACCCATATTCTGGAGGTGTTGCGGGGTATTGCTCTTCGATAATTCTAATTAATTAATTTTTAGATCGTGCCTGTTGGTACTGTGAGCTAGTCGGGACGCCGCTGGCCCGTGCGTTGAGCGACTAGAAGGAGAAGCAGGAACCAGGGAAAACCCGTATTCAGGTTTGAAGATTTCCCTAGTCATCCCGGCTCGTTTGCCATGAAGGACTGCCTTCCCCAATGATCCCTGCTAGGCTGCCCTCTGCTCTGGAGCTGAAATTTTCCTAACCTTCGTCTCCCTAGTGGTGTTTGCTAGCTGGCCCGGGGGATTTTCCGCAAAATAGCATTTTTTGTAATTTTCAATAGGATTTTCGGGATTATTTTAATTTTTAATTTTGATTTTTTATATATTTTTTAACAGGATTTTCGGGATTATTTAATTTTAACTGAAATGTAGCGTTTTTAATGCGTTTTCTTCAGGTAGCCACCGAGGTGCCGGGCCGCACGAAGAAGGACTGCATCAAACGATTCAAATACGTCGCGCAGCTCATCAAAAATCAGAAGAAATGAAGAGGAGAAGGCGAGAAGAAGCCCCCCGCGAAAACGATAGGATATTTCAAATTGCTCACATCATCATTATGGTCATTCTTTCGTTTTGATTGTACTTGCTTTTTCCCCTCTTTCTTGTCTTTTTGTCATCCTGGGTGTCTTGTTGATCTGCATTCCCTCCATTTGTCTAGCTTATCCTTCTCTTCTCGTTTCTAGTTCTCACGCCCCCTTTTTGATCGACAAAATGGGGTCTAATTTAGTGGTGTAATCAGTTAAACGGCTAAATTTCGTGGAATACCGGTCAAAATTCACATTTTTTGCCGGACATTTACAATTTTAGGATAGCGTTGGGATATTTCCCTAATTACATCGCGTAACTAGTTGCACTTTCGCCATTTTCGGGGGTTTTTCTCTAAAATCTAACACTTTGGGGCTTCGAATATTATGGTTTAATAGCTTAAATTTTAAAAATTGGTTAATTTTCGGAGTTAAGCGCATACCGTAAGCCTCATTTTGTCGATCGACGCCTCCCAAATGATATATCGTGTCCCTCTCCTCCTCTTCCTATTTCTTCCGATCAATATCACAACAATGTCCACCCTTTAGTGTCCATTTTTGTTGATTGTTATTTAGTCTTTTCCCCTCTATGTCTCTGTCTCCATCTCTCATTCTCTAGTCCCCTGCTAGTTCTCCCTTCTTCTTTTTCTTCCGCTCCCTTTTTTCGTTACATACAAAATGTCCGCCCATTCGTTTTTTGTTATAACTTTCCGTCTTCTTGCTGTGTTTTATAATCGAGATTTCAGAAATAAATATAAGCCCATTTTCGAATTTTGACGTTTTGACAATTTTAGGCTTGAAAGGGCGTTTTTTTTTAGATGTGGCCGGAGCGGATCGACGATGCGAATCGATTTATGTGTGCTTTCCGTTTAGCGGGGGTGTTAGCTAACTTGTCTTTGTGTAGCATATACCTGTATAGTGAGAAATTTGGTTTATTTGACGAATATTTTCAGTAGGTTCCAATAGAGATCAGAGGACTTTTAGCGCAGAAACTTATGATGTTTTTCTCGCTCTCACCCTCCCTCTCTCTCTCCTCTCTCTCTCTCCCCCCCCCCCCCCCTTTTTTATGCCTACCCGAATGGCCCCTCGAAAAAAACCTTGGTGTCGGCGAAGATTTTTGCTTTTTGGTCAGCATTTAGCGGACGGGCTCAGGGTTCGATCATGCGGGCGGAAATAGCCATGACTAAAAACCGCCTGGAGGTTGCCTGAAAAGTTCTTGGGGGGGGGGGGGTTCATAAGGGGCATCATTCGACGCGGAAGAGTGAGCCACGTCGAATGGTGTAGCTAAAAAACTGATCCGAGGCCGTTCCGGAAAAATAGATGCATAAAACCGCGTTTTTGCTAAGATTTAATAAAAATTCCATAAATCGGGCCTGGAGGTTGTCTGAAAAAGTTTTTAGGGGTTTCTTATGGGTATCATTCGATGTACAAGAGCGAGGTGCATCGAATCGTGTAGCTTAAATCGCGAATTTTTCCAATATGAATCGTGTAATTGTTTCGAAGCCTTTTTTACCATTTCTAAACGTAAAAACGAGAAAATTTGATTAAACAATGTCCAAAATATGGAATTTCTGCCAAAAACGGCCCTTCTTTATCAAAATCTCGAGTTTTTAAAAGCTTTTAGAAGTTTTTCTAGTCTAAATACAGCTTTTTTCAGCAAAAACATTGTTAAAATACTTGCAACTCAATTACTAGGCCATTCCAAAATTACACAAAAATCTTCTTCCCCCCCCCGATAATGCAAAAGAACCGATGATTCTAACGCTTTTCTGAACTCGCCGCTCCGGCGCAAAATCTTGTTTTCTCAGTTTTAATTGAGCAGCGATTCGGGGAACGGCTTTTCGTTGGAGAAGCCTTTTCGGGGCGGAGAGGCGGGCGTCTTGTAGATGTTGGTTGAGGCTGCAGCTCACCCTCATGCTCAGGCTATAGGGGACCGGCTTCGATCGTAATCTGCATCTCCATTGGTTCCATCCTCCTCCTCCCTTCTACTTCTTCCTCTTTTCTGTCCCCCATTTTCCACGTTGGCCGCCCCGGGCGAGGAGATCCCCTTCCAGAACGGCGCATCTTCCCCGAATTTCAACGGAAACTCGAGGATTTGGAATTTTTCTACGTTCCTTGGCTGATTTTTATTTTATTTGTGATCAATTTCGAATTTTTCGACGTCTTGGAGCTGGTTTTTCTAGGGGTTTTCCAAATTTTCGAGTTTTTCGACTTTTGAGGGCAAAATTTTCTGAATTTTGCTTCATTTTTCGGTAAACTGGCACCCAGTATTCAGGTTGAAGATTTAATAGGATCGGCTTTTAACTAAAAGAAATAAAATTTTAATTTTGACGATATTTGCGGCTGATTTTTGGCCCTCATTTCAGCCTCAACAATGAATTCGGTTTTTGGCTTTTTGGTATGTATACTTGTTTGTGAGGATTTTGTGGATTTTTAGAGTTGCTACGAATTTATCGTATTTTTTTGATTGCATTGAAAAAGTGGCCGCACTTCGATTATTAGAGTATTATTCGGAGAATCGGAAATTTTTCGAATTTTCGAATTTTTTGCGGCGGTTGATTCTCATTTTCTGCTTCTTTTTTCAATTTTTAACTACCTGATGAGATTTTTTTAAGTGTATATTTCATATTGAATTCCATTCCATTTAATTGCCATCACAAATGTGTCAAATTGACATTTTTTAGAAGAGCGAAATGGCGCTCCTCGAGACGCCCGAGGCCAAGAGGTAATTTTTTTATCCATATCATTTTTACCATTTCCGATACTACGGCAATACTATTTTATATTGTATTATTTTGTGCTCAAATTAAAACGTTTAGTAGATTTTTTGATGCTCCATCGAATATCGAAAATGTCGAACAAATAGCGAAAATATTGAAAACTAGCTTTTTGACCCCCGTTTTTAGAGGTTATTTTTGTTTTTGCTCTGACTATTTTATATTACAATATTTAAGAGCTGCTTTCAGCTGGGAAATCGGTACCAAAAATTTGCGGATCGAATTTTCCGATAGACTACGAATTCGATCTGTATTTCCAGCGCGCTGTTCTTCGCCGGCGGTTCCCTATTCACTCAATTATTGGCCAAAGTCGTGGTCACCCGTTTCTTCTTTGACTATCCCATCGTCATTCTGATGCTTCAACACGCCGCCACACTATTTCTTGTCGAGGTGCTACGGTAAGTCCAGGGAAAATCTGGAAAATTATTTTTTTCCGCGGGAATTACATGTCGTAACGCCCTCCGTAGCGCTAAACTTATCGATTTTTCGGGACAATTTTAGCGATTAAAATAGCTAAGATGAGAAAAACAACGCCAAAATTCGGGCAAAACAGTTAATTTACGTGTCATCACGTGCGCGTTGCGTGTCGCGGCGTGGAGAATGCAGAAAAAGTCTATAGCCTCGCCTCTCCGGTCCTTGTAAAAACCCGATTACCGCCAGACTGCCAGTCTGCCAGACGGTCGAAATAGACAATTTTGACTCCCCTAGCTGTCACTGTCCCTTTAAAGTCGCCATGATAGCCAATCTGGCCCGTCTACTGTATTTTCAGGCTATTGTCAATCGTCAAACTGCCGGCATATTCGTTCGATCGTGGCCGCCATCTCTTCGTTCCTTCGCTTCTTCTAGCTGGTATGTTTCTCTCGGTCTCCTCTCTCTCACTCTCTCTTACTCGCTCTCGTTCTGTCTCTCTCTCGCTCCATCTCACTCTCTCTTTCTCTCTCTCTATCCCTCTCTTTTCAGTCTCTTCCTGGCTGTCTGTCGCTTCCCTCGAGGGCATCGGAATGCCGGTTTTTGATTCGGTCAAGAGGTCCGTTTCATGAGCGTGATTGATCATGAGTGTGAGCAAGAGCGTGTCGGAATCAATTACCTATCCGCATTTCAGATGGAGCTCGGTGGTAGTCGTTCTCCTGAGTGGGGTGATGCTCAAAAAAGGCCGTCCAGAAAGCCAGAAAGGGCTCCTCATCGTCACCGGAATATCGTTGACTGCTGCCCTACTTGGTCAGATTTTGGGTTCTGGGCTGTTAGCGGGGGAGCCGAATTTTCCCCAGTAATCCCTTACGGCCCTCTAACAAAATATAAACCAATTTCATGGCATTTTACAGTTTTTAGCTGTAAAAAGCATGTAGAAAAACCTAAACCATTCGAAAAATTTTGGACTTTTTGTACAAAAGTTTAGGAAAAATGCAAGATCCTATCCTATAAGCGAGAAAAGTATGTTTGTTTTCTGTAATGAGGATTTCTCGGCCGTGAGGCCGAATTTCGAGCTGATTTTTTGGCATGAAGGTGGAGAAACACATTTGTCAGACACGCATTTTTTTGTTTTGCGAAATTCTTTCATTTAACGGT